TTTCAGACAGAACCACTGTTAACATTTTAATGTATTTACTTTTAGTCTTTTTTTCTATATAGCTTTACATAGTGAATTCTATATCACAGAACATAAAATCTGTTATACATTTTCCTACTTAATTTGTATCATAAACATTTTTCCATATTATTTCAAACTTTTTGAAAACCTTTTAAAAATTACTATTACTACATACTCTTTCATATTGTGGCATTCTTACTGTTGGACATTGAAGTTGTTTTCAATCTTTTTTCCAGTATGAATAATATTATGGAGGATATCTTTACATAAATATTTTTATCCTTTTAAAATTATTTTCTTAGAAATAATTGGGTTGAAAGGAATGGATTTGTTTTCATTTATTTTCCTCTTGATTATCAAAGTAAGATGAGCTTATCACAGACAAGTAAAATATAACAAAGCTGGTAAAGAAAAAAATCATTCAGATCCTCCACCCAGAGGCAACTAATGTTAGTGTTTTGACATGATTTCTTCTGATACATGCAGTTACAGTATTTTCTTTCTTAGCAAGGTTCAAGGATATGAGTATTTTTAAGGCTTTTGATAACACTGTCAAAATTGCTTTCAATTTATCAATTTATCCTCCTTCTGGAAGTGTATTAGTTGTGACTATTTTGAAAACTCCACATCTAAAAATGATCAGATAAGCACGATTGTTTAAAAACTTTCCAAGATTTTGGTTTGGCTCACTGAAAATCTGTCTGTGAATATGGAAAAGATAATAAAAAAGTGTTGAACAGAATGGGTGCAGTGGCTCACACCTGGAATCCCAGCATTTTGGGAGGCTGAGGCAGGAGGATCGCTTGAGGCCAGGAGCTCAAGACCAGCCTGGGCAATATTGTGAGACCCTGTCCCTACAAAAAATAAGAAAAATTAGCCAGGAATGGTGACACATGCCTGCAGTCCCAGCTACCTGGGAGGCTGAGACAGGAGGACTACTTGAGTCCAGGAGTTCAAGGTTGCTGTGAGCTATGGCTGCGCCACTGCACTTCAGCCTGGGCAAAAGAAAAATAAAAGTGTTGAGTGAATGTTACTTGGAGAACTCATCTCCAGCTTTTGATCTGGTTACCTTTGTTAATGGTATTCAATTAGGTTTCAATGGGGGCAATTGAAAATGTTTATTTAACAAGTAGGTGTAGAAGTCAGCTTATTGGTTTTTCTAGATGAAGATAGGCTATTGGTCATTTATTAATGTCTGCTTCCTGTGTTAGATAGAGGAACGTATTCTTCTGCTTAGGAGTTCCCAATCTTTTCCATGGCATGGCACACATGGAATATAATATTTGTTCTATTCATTGGAGTAAACGAATGGGACTGGTGTAGTCCTGCCCCACCCCAACCCCCGGCTGCCCTGAGGGCTGAGGGATCAAGGTCACAGTCTCCCATAATCCATTTATGGGTCAGCTCTGCATCCTAGGGAACCTAGAGGAATGTCTTCTTATGTCATAAAGAGCATATCTTTTTTTTTCTTTAAATGTGTTTTCCTAGTCCATCCCTGCCCTCCGCCTATTTTTGCATTGATTACAAAGGGACTTTATGACTGTGGCACCTCTCCTTAGTAGAATGGCAGTTGTTTTTCTTAATCTTCTGATCTACCTCTTCACTCTTCTCCACAAAACATGCTCAATTCCTGCTCCAGAGTTTTATGTATTTGATTTCTTTCACCTGAAGTCATTCATAATTAACTGAATCCTCTTATGTACCAGGCGCTTCGGTAAACACTGGGAATAGAGAGATGCTGAAGACAGCTTCTGACTCTAAGGTGCTCACGGCTGAATGGAGGGAAAAACAGGAATGGCAAGGCAAGCGATTGATGGTAGGTCCGAAGGTTCCTTGGCATTCTCCCTGGGGCAGGTGGGAAGGCTTCCAGAAGCAGGTACATTTTAAGTGTGATTTGAAAGAGGAGTGGAAGTTTGACACCCCAATCAGGAAACAGAGTAACTGGGTAAGAGACAGAACGGTGGTTTTGAGAAATGGGTGAGCATGTTGGTGTGCCCAGAACACCAGTTCCAGGCAGCACCTGCAAGAGTGACAGAGGAAGAGGCTAAAAAGGAAGTAAGGTGAGGCATGCTAGGTTTGGAAGGGCTTTATTGCATGAAACAGTTAGGACTTATACACTGGACCACTGGGAAAGATTTTTCAGCGGGAGACTGACATCTACAGACTTGTGTTTTTGGAAACTGCTCTCCCAGCAGTGTGGAGAACGGAATTGGGGATGGGTAGGGAAGTCATTAGGTAGCAGCTGTAACTTGGAAAACAGAAGTGATGAGGGTTTGACTTAGGGCCCGGGAGGAGGAGGTGGATGAAAGAAAGCAATGGTGATAGAATCTGTAAGAATGGCTGTAGCAGTTTGGGAGACGTCAGTTTGGGCAACTAAGTAAATGGTGATCCCGTTAGCAAAGACAGGGAGAAGGGCCTTACCCCACTGTTCCAGCTCTTCAAATCCAGCCCACCCATTAGACCCAGCCCTAGGGCCCTCCCCTTTGCAAGCCTTCTTCTCGAATCCTTGTCTCCTAGAGGCCACTCCCTTCCCAGAGTAGCTATTCTGGGATTCAGCTGTGGACAGTTCGCTCCCTAAGCATGAGGTTATTATTTTTCACACCTGTTAGATTTGTTTCCCAAATCGGATCATAGGACTGTTCTCAGGCCCACATCTCGTGCTGCTCTGACATTTATCGCAGCGACTACCTCACCGTGTTGGGTTTTATGAAGTCCAAGCAGGCGGTGGGGACTATTGCTGCTCTCGTAAATGAAATCTTCAATGTAAAATACGTACAGAAGGGAGCCGCCCTGGTTAATGCAGGAATAGACGGCCCAGAATCCAGGACCCTGGGCTTCCTCTTGTTCTAAGCAGCAACCCCCAAGGGCTTCCACTATATCTAGGGTTCCATGAGATGCAATTTGAAAACTTTGGCTTGGTGGACTGATCATGGATGATAGAGTCAGATAAATCTGAGTTTGAATCCCTGCTCTGTCACTTACCTAGCCGCATTAGAGGAGACAAACGAAGAAACAGCTCTAAGCTTCACTTTCTCCTCTGTAAAACAGATAATGCTTTCTTGTAGGGTAACTGTGAAGACAAAGTAAGATAATGCATGTAGCAATCTCTGGCACTTATTAAATGCTCACTAGATCATAGTTGTTATTGGTAACAACAAGGTACTTGTTAACTGATTGAGTATCTGATCCTTATTGAATTGGCAGTTGTTCTGTGTAAGTAAACTGATTCATCCTCAGGTTAAGAAAAGCCAGGGTTGGGGGTGAAGTTATGGGCGAGCTTGGACTTATGAGAAGAACCAGTCTTGTCTTATGTTCCATCCACTTCATAAACCCACAATTGCCTTCCTTTTCATGAGGGTCTATCAATATTTAATGGACGGGTGTCAGTTGCTGTAAACTGACCATACCCTAGCAACAACTTGAATTAATTATATGCAGGAGACAAAATAAAATGCCTTTTTCTCAGAGGCCCAAGTTTCACTGGCTACACGGAAGCCTGGAAATCACAGGGTGAGCTTTCTTCTGATGGAGGACCCTGAGAAGAAGCTGAATCAGAAGAGTGATGGCAAACCCCGGAAAGTACGATTTAAAATCTCCTCCTCCTACAGTGGCCGAGTATTGAAGCAGGTCTTTGAAGACGGGCAGGAATTAGAGTCACCAAAGGAAGAATACCCTCACAGTTTTCTCCAAGAGTCCCTTGAACCAATGGATGGTGTTTATGGGTCTGGGGAGGCTCCCAAACCCCCACTGTGCTCCCCTAAGCTGACTGCTCAGAGGATCAGCGTGTTTAGAGAGGGCAATGCCTATACTTTGGCCGGCAGCCAGCCTCTGTTCAACGATTTCAAGGTGAATGATCATAAGGTTGGTATTGTGTGTGGCATATAAGCTTTCAGGGTAGGGCTGCCTGAAATATGTTCAGAGAAACACCTAAAGTCTTCAGATTTGTATCTTACTCACGCTCCAGTACCAGCCAGAGCTATAGGTGCACCAAATGGGAAGCCGCTATTAGAATATTTCTGGGACAAAAATAACATGCTTGTTGACAACGCATTGGGAAGTGCAATGAGCATATATAGTATTCAAATTCCATCCAGAGCAATACATTGTAATTGGATCTTTGGGTTTTCTCAGATGTAAATTAAATAGAGGTGCAGTGGTCTCTGGGTTGCCAGACTGCCGTTTTAGAAAATTATGCAGAAGTGGGTCATTTTGTTTCCTGAAAGAGCTGAATGTTCGAAGGTGCTCATTTTATTCCAGCCAATTATTTAGCTTGTGGTTTATCCATGTCTTGTTTTTTACCCCTTTGGTCCTTCTACTGTCTGCTTTTTAAAAATGTTTCTCTATTTATTTACGTTGCCTTTCTATTGCTCATTAGCATGAAGTGTGGGCAGTGGAGTCCTGGGAGGAGACGGTGAAAAGGAAATCAGCCAGAGGAGATGTTACATGGGGAAGAAGTTTGAGCTAATAGTTCAGTTGAAGCATGTGTTTAATCTGAGAATTTCAATTACTTCCCCGCTACCATGGATAATCAAAAGCCCATACGTGATTTTCTTTTAAGCTAAAAGAATCTGGAAAATATTCACTGATTTCCAAAATTCACAGGAAATGTGTATATGTTCTCTGTCACTGGGACCATAGGTGTCTTTTAAAAAAGATTAAATACAGGCTGGGTGCGGTGGCTCACGCCTGTAATCCTAGCACTCTGGGAGGCCGAGGCGGGCAGATTGTTTGAGCTCAGGAGTTCGAGACCAGCCTGGGCAAGAGCGAAACCCCGTCTCTACCAAAAATAGAAAGAAATTAATTGGACAACTAAAAATATATAGAAAAAATTAGCCGGGCATGGTGGCACATGCCTGTAGTCCCAGCTACTTGGGAGGCTGAGGCAAAAGGATTACTTGAGCCCACGAGTTTGAGGTTGCTGTGAGCTAGGCTGATGCCACGGCACTCACTCTAGCCAGGGCAACAAAGTGAGACTCTGTCTCAAAAAAAAAAAAAAAAAAGATTAAATACAGTTATATAATGTATCCACATTATTAATGAATAGCACACCAGGATGTGTTCTCATCTTTAAAGTGTGAAATTCAGATAATTATTCTCTAATTATTTTTATTGTTAGTTTCCTAAGGGAATAGATAATATATCTATTGCAGACAAACGTATTGTTGACTTTGCTGGCATTGGTAAAATTGTGGGCATGTCTGCAATTATCAAAGAAATGTCACGTCTCTTTTTAATATTAAAGGGAGCTGGAATGAATGACACCTTTATGTTAATGAAGTGCTTTATGCATTACAAAATGCTATCACTTAATATTCTATCTGTATGTATCATATTGGGTCTCTACCATAACCTGGGGGAGGAGGGCAAAGTATGGTCATTTCCATTTTGCAGATGAAAAAAATTGAGTGCCAAGTTGTTAAGGGACCCATCTGGTATTACAGAGTGATTGGGTGCAGAATCATAAGAATCTGGGTCTTCTAATTCTTCATGCTTTTCGCTTTAGGGCATGTTCCTTTTTAGAGAACATGATCATTATGTAATAATAGTGATGATAATAATAGCTACCATTTATTGAGTGCTTCTCATGGTCTTGGTACTTGGCTATGTCGTGCACTTACAATATTTCTTTTTAACTGTATCTTATTTGTAGGTTTAGAATTTACAAAGTCATAGTTCATACAAACCTTGTACAAGGCCATGGTAGATAATTTTGGATTGCTTGACCTTCATAAGTCATGTGCCAAATCTGGCATTTATCTGAATGTATGGTTTGACATGAATTTATAAACCTAGGTAAACAAGTCTTCACTGAAGCATGGCTCAGTTGGTTAAAACACAGTACTCTAGAGACAGTGCTGAAGGTTTAATTCAGCTGCTTGGTCCAGTTATCCTTGTTTTCTTTGTTGCCTGATCCAGCGTCCCATCCCAGTCTTAGCCAGCCTCCGAGTATGAGAGTATCCAAGATGGAATCACGCAGCATCCTCCACTGAAGCACTCTGTCAATATGGTATTTATGAAAAATAAGGAAATGAGAGCTGGGATGTCACGATTTTTCAATAGGGAATCCAATTATAAAATAACTCTTAGTAAATACTAGTTATAAGACCACATCAGGTAACAGTTAAGTGCAATGATTCGAAGCAAAGGCTGTGAACTCAGATATTTGTACACCATTGTTCATAACAGTATTATTCATAATTGCCTAAAGGTAGAAACAAACCACATGCCCATTGATTGATGAATGAATAAACAAAAAATGTGGTCTATACATACAATGGAATATTATTCAGCCTTAAAAAGGAAGGACATTTTGACACACGCTACAACACGGATGAATCTTGGAGATATTATGTGTGAAATAAGCCAATCACAAAAAGATAAATATTGTCAGATTCCACTTATATGAGGACCCAGATTAGTCAAACTCATAGAGACAGGAAGTAGAATGGTGGTTGTTAGGAGCTGGGGGTAGGGAAGAAGGAAGAATTATTGTTTAATGGATACAGAGTTTCAGTTTAGGAAGAAGAAAGTGTTGTGGAGGTGGATGGTGGTGCTGGTTGCACAGCAGTGTGAATGTGCTTAATGCCATTGAACTGTACACTTAGAAATGATTGAAATGGTAAATTTTACGTTATATGTATTTTACCACAATAATAATAATGACTTATTAAAAAAAACAAACAAGGGCTCTGATGTCAGTCAAACCCAGGCTTGGGCTGAGCTCAGTGGCTCACGCCTGTAATCCCAGCACTTTGGGATGCCAAAGCAGGAGGATTGCTTGAGGCCAGAAGTTTGAGATAAGCCTGGGCAACATATAGAGACCCTATTTATATAAAAAAATATTTTTTATATAATTAGCCAGGTGTGGTGGCATGCACCTGTAGTCCCAGCTTCTGGGGAGACTGAGACGCAGTAGGATCATTTGAGCCCAGGAGTTTGAAGTTACAGTGAGCCACTGATTGGGCCACTGCACTCCAGCCTAGGTGACAGAGAGAGACTAATCTCAAACAACAACAACAACAACGACCACAACAACCACAACAACCAAACCTGGGCTTGATGTCCAGTTCTACCCATTCACTGTGTACGCTTGAGCAAGCTGCTTAACCTTGCAAAGCTTCAACATCATCCTCCGTGATATGAAAGTAACAAAAGTGCCTACTTAAAGAGAGTTGTGTGGCCATTAAAAAAGATAATACATAAGAAGCTCTTAGCATTGTGCCTGGCATGTTGTTGTGTGTGCTCAGCAAATGTACCCACAATTGTGATTGATAAAGAGCAGGTTCTGATCAAAGAAATGCTGAGTCTTTTATGTGATGGGTAGAGAAAGTGGTTATAATTAATTAAAATAGTTTAAGGAATTAAAACCGACTTCAATTTATGAACCTTGAAGTTTACAAGGTTCATGAAAAGAATGAAAGGGAAAAGGTAGGAAAGTAACACTTAATGAACACCTACTTTGTACATATTATGTGATTTCATCTTCATGACATTTCTATGAGAGTTTTACAAATTGGAAAAACAGAAGTTCATAGGGGTTAAACGATTTGAAAATCTCACACAGTTGTTGAATAACATTTGAATAGAATTTGAACTCAGGCCTGTCTGCCTCTAAAGTGTACTGAACTTCTCGTATCTAATGAGGCATTTCTGCATTTAAAAACAGAGCAATGGGAGGGTTTAGTAGTGCCTGATTAACAATCTCTAAGCATGTTGCCACGGACACCAGAGTAGCTACGAATGCTCAGTCACATAGGTTGTCATTCTGGGCATTATGGAAGGAAATGAAAAATTCTTGGCTCCATTCTGCCCTCTATAATTCAAGAGTGGGTGTTCCTCACGGGCAATTAATGTAATCAGATAACATGAACTTTACTTACACCCAGAGAGTTTCTTTAGACACAAGGAAGAATTCGGCTGTTAGAGTGACTGAAACTTAAACACACCTTAAGGGTGATTTGGGACGCTCCATCTTTGGGGTACATTAAAATAAATTTGTTATGGGGGGATATCTTGGATGTTGACCAACTTAGAGGCAGGGGGTTGGACCAGGTGATCTCATATTCTGTATGCATATTGAGAGCTTTGTCTTGAAAAATAAAACCAGCTCTAGATATGAAAAAGCTCCCTAGAAACTGAACCTCTTTGGCTATTACTGGAAGTAGAAATGGAACCTTCCAAAAGTACCCCCGTCCTTATCTTCTGATGTTCAGAAACTGATATTCCAGAGTGTGAAACTGGAATCCAGCCTGCATAAAACAATACGAAATGGAAGCTGCTACACAATCCCTTGACGAGAGGGAGAGAAAACAGGGCCACATAGGAAGCTTACAGCTTAATAAATAATTATTGAAAACTCCATGGGTGTTTCAAGGAATGGACCCTGAACATTGAAGTCTTGCTCACACCAGGTTTTGACAAAATACGTATGAGGCTGCTTAACTGTAGCATTTAAATAGATTCGATTGTACAATTCTATAAGCAGGACAGAATAGTTCATGCTGAGGTATTCAGTTGTGTAGCGCGATTGTGCATGTACAACTGGAGAACAGTTTTTAATAATAACAGTGGTAGTGATGCCGACCGTTTGCATAGTATCTCCACCTTTTCCAAACCCTATATTTGCTACATTTTTCATAGCACCTCCCACCCCTCAGAAGTGATATAATTAGCTTCGGGGATGAGAGTCAAAATATTTAAGCACAGGAACATTGCCCAATCAGTATGGATGCCAGCAGAGCATTGAGGCAGGGTCCTGAGACTAGGGGTCCTAAGTATTAAGTCTTATATTACTGGGTTTTGGGATGTTAGAGGCTCCCTGAGGGGAGGCTGGGGTAACAGGAGGGCACTCAGGAGTCTCAGGACAGCACCTGTTTGCCACCCAATATGGAAGTATTTCTGTATTCTAATAACTAGCTTTCTGTGGCAGTGCCTCCAACTAGATGTTGGCCCATTTGCAGATGAGCAAACTGAAGTTCTAAGAGGCTATGTGACTCTTGTGTATCTCACAAGAGGTAGACAGTAGGACTGGAATCCAATGCAATGTCCCTCCAAGCTGTCCTAACTCTGGGTAAAACGTGAGTTCTTGGTCAAGAAATCACAAAACACTTCCCAGGCTGCTTTCTCTACTGCATCGTGGTATTGCCCACATTTATTCCTGAGCAAATGATTAAGTGACACATGGCAATTCCATATGAGGGAACATACACTCTTAATAATGATGCTTTAGAAGTCTATTTATTGACAGGAAAAGATTTTCATATTACATGGATAATGAAAAAATAGGTTACAACAGAGTATATGCACTGTGATCCTATATTTTGGGGGGAAAATGCTTGTCAATAGTGCAGTGTAGGTAGTAAGAATATGGGCTTTAGTGTGATATACTTGGCTTGCAAGCCAAGCCACAGTCCCTGAGTGACTCTGTCACCTCAGCAAGGCACCTAACCCCACTGAGACTCAGTTTCCTCACCTGTAAAATATGGAAATGATAGCATCTCCCCCACAGGGATGTTTGGGGGGAAAGCAAAGTAACATTGGTAAGACATGAATCCTGACACACAAATGGTGCTCAATAAATGCCATTTACTGATATTATTATTTATGTATAGGAAAAATTTGGAGGGATATTTATATAAAATGAGAAAAAGTGTTTGTATTTATTAAGCACTCATTGTGCCCAGCCCTGCAGTGGCTGCTGGGGCATACAGTAGGAGCGAAAGCTTAGCCCCTGCCCTCCGGAGTCTCGCACTCTGAGTAGTTCGGCTTTGATTGGTTACCACCGAGGAAGCTGGTCTTCATGGCTTTCAGAGAGAGCAAACCAACCAGAGAATGAGCTGTAGCTTTGGGGTCTGATGGCATCACAAGTGTTGGATGGTAGAGAAGTTCCTCCTCTCCTGTTTCCTGGGTTGTTGGACAGCTTCTACAGCCCCATATTTGGTGGTGAAGTTTCCATGCTCATTCTCTGTTTCTCTAGCCCCCACCTATCATAGATTTTGGAAAGATAATCATCTACACGAACAACCTGAAAATCATTCGAACCCCAATGGACAAGAGAGACTTCATGAGGAAAATTCTCCAGAATGAAGCGGTTGAAGAAGAGTCTCTGATGAGCAAAGAGGAAAGCTACGGAGACAGGGACCAGAACGACGGGCCTTTGCTGGAGACGGAAAGCGTGTTCCCCCATAACCAGTACACACAGGTGCGTCACAGAGCTCGCCTGTCCTACTCGTAGCCGACCCTTACAGCAAGCGTCTTCAAATTGGCTCAATTGTGCACTACTTTAGTAAAAACTTTTGAATGTGAATACTTAAGATATCTCACTGTAAAATTCTTTAATTCTATTATTTCTCATACCAGATTGTAACTTGTAGGAGCATATATTTTCAGAAAAGAGCCAGAAATGGTAAGATGTGGGTCACACTGCAGGTCTGAATAAAAAAGCAAGAGTAGGCCTGATATGACAATTACCTTTACATTCAATTTGGAGAGATCTGTGTTTTTTAACTGTAATGCTGTAAACTAGGACAGAGGTGTGCAGCAGAAGGTTGACGTGAAAGGTTATAATTCAGTCGTCTGTCCTTTAAACTCTGTTTTAAATTGCTTGCCCAATCCCTCATGCAGTTAATGCCCAGACAAGCTTTATCCTAAAAGAGAGGGTCAGAGAACATCAAGGAGCCCCTTCTGACCAAGAGACTCTTTGTTCTGTTATGTGGAGCAGGGCAGCAGTGAGAATCTGATGAAAGAGCAGGGCACGGCTGAAAGCCAGGCCGGGCTTGGGCCTCTGCATTAACTATCAAAGAGAAGGAGAAGAATAATTGAATCGAGCTGCAGTAAAAGGTGGAAGGGGAAAAATTTGGCTTTGTGCTCAGTGGATGTGAGGCCATAAATCATCTGTGCTTCTTTATGTTGTATGTGATCTCACCTTTGAAACCGTAGTAATCATCATCATCGTCATCGTAATCGTAATAGCTGCCATTTATTATTGAGGGCTCGTGATAGCCAGGCACCTTGCCCAATGCTGTCCATGCAACAGTCCATTTAATTCTCGCTAAGACCCTGTGAGGTAGGTATTATTAATAGTTTCATTCTGCAGCAGGGGAAACTGAGGCTTACAGAGGTCAAGTAACTTGCCAGAGGTCACTAGCACCAGTAGTCAAACTAGGTCCATCTGTCGACCAATCTCATGATCATAACTGCCCTGTTATGCAGTCTCTAGGTTGGTGCTGGTTACTCTCTTTAGGGCAATACAAACCTTTGAATCTGCAATGAAAGATCAGGCCCTTCTCCCTGGTCCTGGAGCTAGTAAGAGGTGAATTGGAGGGTTCGTCAGGTTCTAGAACGTAAGTTATACTGTGCAACTCTGTTCTATATCCCCCTACTAAGTATTTTTGAGAATAATCTAGAAAATAATGAGAAAGGAAGAAAGAGGCTCATAGTACACATACGTTGCATAGAGTAGTACTCACTCAATACTTGTTGAAGTAATTGAATGAATAGAAGAAGCATGTGGAGGGTGAGTGGTTGTAGAAAGAGTTGTAACCCAGGATAAGAATGGAAATTCCAGTGAAACCCTAACAATGCACCCTAGAATGTGACATTAGATATAATTTGAGTGGAGATTTATTTTTGTCCTTTATAGCAGGCTCACCAGGTCATTTCCTCCATCTTTCATTATTATCTAATGGACCTGACATTTCATGCAAATGAATTTTTGGATCACATATATAGCATTATGGTAGGATTTTACTGTACTTTCTTGGGCAACATTGACTTATATCATTAAAATCTCACTGGGATCAAATCCAAAACATAAAGTACAATGGATTTGACAGGAAAATGGATTGTGGTAATTTGCTTTATGAATATTTTGGCAAATATATTTATTTTGAATACTTTAAGAAGAAAACAAATTTCTTTTTAGTTGATATATTAAAATATGGCAATAATCAATAAAATATTAACACAAGGGTCCATAGACATAATTCGAATTTTTGTCAAATGAGTAATCACTCTATTCCCTAAATCTAGAATTAATAAAATTCAAGCCAGGTGTGGTGGCCCATGCCTGTTGTCCCAGCTACTTGTGAGGCTGAGACGGGAAGACCACTTGAGCCCAGGAGTTCGAGGCTACAGAGGCTACAGTGAGCTGTGATTGTGCCATTGCATTCCAGCCTGGGCAACAGAGTGAGACCCTGTCTCTAAACAAAGAAACAAAAACAATTTTTAAAAATAGAATTAATAAAGTTCAATACTTTCTTAGGCACTTTGCAGCATAATGGAGCTATTTTCAAAACTTATTCCTCCCTTTGATAAATTATTTTCATTGTTCAGTTAGAAAAGAAAGCTGTGTGAGTTGAGTGGAGCTACCCCGTGGACTCCAGCTATCTTGTTGGTTCCTAGAATTTAAGAACAGGAAGGGTTCTCCATACGTCATTGTTTTGTTTGTTTATTCATTCTGCACAAATGTTGTGCCAGGGACTGTGCTAGATGTTTGGGACCCGATGGTGAGAAGATACTAGTGCAGAGAGCTTCCTGTCTAGTCATTAGGAGCTCTCAGCAGAGAGTGAGACCTGCCATGCTAGGGGCAGTACAGGTGGCCACGGGTGGGGCACCTGGTCAGGAGGTGGGGTTGGGCAAGGATTTTTGGAGAAACAGCTGCTAAGCTGACCTCTGAGAACCAACAGGAGTTGGCTGGGTTGGGAGTGGGTGGGGAAAGGTCCCTGGAGACCAAGTACAGAAAGGCCCAAGAACAAGAGCCTGCTGAAAGAAGTGACAAAGAGTTTAAATGCCCTGAGGTTTTATCTGAAGGGCAAGAGTTCATTAAAAGGTTTCCTGAAGGATCCCTTGAACCCAGGAGTTCTAGGCTGCAGTGAGCTGGGATCACACCACTGTACTGAGTGCTTTCTACGTGGCAGTTGCTACTGTGGACAACTTAATGAGTTTGCATCAGTGGGGAGAGAACACCCCACAGGACCAGAGGCAGGGGTCCACACTGCATTCGTGCCAGAGTTGGTGGGCACCTGGGCTAGGATTGGTGGTTGTGGGATAAAGAGAATGGGATGGATTTGAGATGTTTAGAAGGTGAAATGGATAGGACTTGTTACTTGATTCACTGGGCTTTGATCTGGTATCTCCCCTTATTTCTTGGAAGGTTCATAGTCTATAAGGAGTATGAATATTGCCAACTTCCTTAAAATGTCTTAGGGCAAGAGCAAGACAATAGGCAAAGGGCATTTTCTGGAGAGTGGGAGTCCAGGACTTGTTGTCAAGGCTTAGAAGTGAACTAACTTTTACAGGGAACCTATGATCGGACAGATAATATTGTATTATATGTATTTTCTTATTTAATAGATGAGCTGCTCAGAAGGGTAAACATTATTATTACCATTTCACATGTAAAGAAACAGACTGGGAAAGGCTAAGGGAACTGTCTAAGCTACACAGACAATAGCCTCCGTTCTAATCAATTAACTCCAAAGCACAGAGCTCTTAATCGCTGGGCCTTACACAGCTCTCAAAGAGAATGAAGTACTGGGAGAATTCAGAGCTAAGCTTTGAAGGATTGTTAACACTTATTGATTGATATTGCTTGATTGATTGATTCATTCATCCACTCAGTCTCTCAGTTACAAACGATCTTTCTCGAGCACCTACAATAGGACAGCTACAATGAGAGGCTGTGTATGTAGTCATTGGGAGCATGAATTCTGGTGTTCAACTCCCTGAGATCAAAACCTGCCTCTTCCTCTTCCAAGCTGTGTATGTCACCACTGGCAAATGACTTCTCAGTATCCCATTTTCCCATCTGTGACACAGGGATGATAATACTCACACTACCTCATCGGGATTTTGTGAGGATTGGATGGATTGATATACAGAAAGCTCTTAGAACAGCACCTGGCACCTACCAGCCATGCTACAAGGGTTCACTATTAGTATTTGGCAATGATAAAAATAAAGTTCCTGCCCGTATGGAGCTTACAAAAAAAACACATCAGATGGTGAGAAGGGCGATGACGAATATAAATTCTTGGACCGTGTGGCATGGTGGCAGCGGATGCTGTCTTAGAGATGTCCACCAGGGAAATGCTCTCTGATCAGCTTGCTGTGATATTCCATGTCCCAGCCAGTTCCCTCACTGGCATTTATGGGAAGCATTTTCCCCTAATTCTGCCCCAGCCTTTGCCGAAGTGCTATTTTGACCTATACGTGAACAATGGATTTGAAGCTGCTCTAACTAAACCCTGACCTGTCTCTTGCAGGAAGGGGAGCTTCCTGAGGACAACTGTTTTCACTGCCGAGGGTCGGGCAGTGCCACCTGCTCTCTGTGCCACGGCAGCAAGTTCTCGATGCTGGCCAACAGATTTAAGGAGTCCTATCGGGCCCTGAGGTGCCCTGCCTGCAATGAGAATGGCCTGCAGCCCTGCCAGATTTGCAATCAATAGCCCATTGCTTTTGCATGTCTGCTTTTATGGCACCCTCCCCAAAGTTATTTCTAATAAACTGCCCCCTCCCCCTCCTCCTGCCTCTCCCTGCAAGGAGGCCAGAGCGACCGCAATCACTTCCACTGCTGGCAAAACTCAATTATCTGATGACATTTCGTGAAGCCGGTAACATCTCCATGTGAGTCTAAGTGGTAGGGGCATTTTGGAATTAGAGTCTGCTTTGAAACTGGTTCTGAAATTATCCTTCCAGAAACGTGTGAGAGTATCTCACTTGACTTAGCTCAGTTTACGCCTTGCGCCAGTGAACAAATAAATGTA